AAATTGTGAGAAGTTTTCCCAAAAATATATACTCTATCTTTACCAGGGCACAACGATGAACATGTGAAACATTTCGAGCTCTCATCGACAAATTTCTTCAGTGTTTCTCCCGACATGATAGCTAGATCATCTGCCACATCCACATTTTCGCGTGAAACCTTACGTCATTCAGATTTTCTGGTATGTGATTGGTCTGTTCAATAGACCGCGACCAAACCGCATGGACAATGAGAAAGGAATGTAGTTCGGTTGTAAGCAGCCGTTCTTTGGGGGGAGCGTTGCGTGACATCCAAAAAAAAAAGGTTGCGAGGGAGACTAGTTCATTCCCTGATAGCAAGCAATGGCATATTTGTTCATCATGCCTTAAATGTAAAATTACTTTTTAATTCGGGAGGAAAGTTTCATGCGTGAGTAGTTTGTCGATAAATTGGGCTTGCTAAAAGAGAAGGAAGTTTCAGTTTACTGACCCAATTTTGTGGAATCTTAATGATACCAATACTCGAATCACCTCAGTCATCCCTATCTTAGGGATGACTCAGGCGAGTCTTGGCGAATGCACATATTTTGATCATTAAAATTACGAACTTGGGAGCTCCACTTTTAGGCTTGGCTAGATCTATATATTATTTATTCGCCAGGGGTTAGCTCCACGAAATGGTTTCGACTTTTCTGCGCGTCTGTTTTTAAGGTATCGTGCAAATGCCCAAACATCAGATCAGCTTTGGCTAAAATTACTGACAATGGTGCAATAACTATATAGAGTAAGTTAACCTTCTACCACAAAACGTAAAAGGACAATCAGTAGCAGTGCTACGTTAAAGTGAAAGTAATTGACTGACCCCTTTTTTTAAGTAATTTGATTAGAAGCGAATGTTCATGGCTCATTTCTCGCTGTCCCATTTAAGTTGGGCATTCCCAATAGTGCATGTAGCAATACATGTTGGAGTATCCTCTTTGTAACGTATCTGTGCATGTGCATTTGTAGATTATACTGTATTTAGAGGCAGTGCTTGTCATCTGCGCAAATTTTGCGTTATTGGTGTCACAATTAACACCAAAAATCTTTTTATCCTGCAAAAAATAAAGCAATCTTTTAAGCTTCTGTTCCGTCAAACTTTTTTTGTACACTTTGTAGTGGTAACTAAGGCAATTATTATTTCAAATGGCAGCTTTCAGGAACGTGACTAACGATTTTTTAAAGATACGAAGTTTTTCACAAGCTTTTGAAATGCTTTTTACACGCTTTTCTCAAAGAAAATTTCATTTAAATTAAATGCGGAAAGCGTATTAGGGTTAGAGTTAGAAGCACACATGAAAACACATAGATATGCGTTTGGTTAAATATCTCAACTGAAAGATCTGAAAACAAAGAAAGGGAGGTTTAAGGTGGCTCAATAGGGTTTTTTGGCCGGGTTAAGAATGGGTACGAAAATAGCGCGCGCTTTTAAATGGCATCAAATATGTAAACAAACTTGGCGGCTTCACGCGAGTGCACAATTTTTGTCACATAATCGCGAAGTTTACTTGACGAGAGTGAAACGGCATCTATACTTTCCAGGAAAGGAGCACAATATTGACAGTGAAAGACCAGAAGTTTACACAACGCCTACACAACATCCGTAATGCGTCGGGTCGCTTTCGGAAAGTGGAAGCGATCGAAACCAGAAAAGAAACAAAAATAAAAAGGTTACACGGAGGGTTCAAAACGTGGAATGCCAAAAGGAAGCTCCAGTATGATAACATATCCATGGAAAACGAACCCCCAGCAAAACGAATGACACGAGCACGTGAGGTCAGTACATTTTTCTTTATTCGGAAGTCTTAATTTTTGGTAAGATTTTCCTGTCAAGCTTGTCCTAATTATCGGCCTACCTGTTCTGTTGACTCCAACCCTGATTCCCATCAGCAGAATAAAGCTAAGAGGAAGGCGAACCTGCCACAAGGATCCAGACTGGTGGACTTAGAAACCCTTACAGATGGTCTGAAGGAATG